CTATTTTTCAAAGTGTAAAGACATAACCTTCCTCTGTTTTCTGCTCTGCAGACTTATTCTTGCTGGCAGAAAAAAAAAGTCATGACACATAAGCTTCACTAGTAAAGTCTCTCAACAGAATTAGATATTTGGATATCTATGCCACAGATTTACCCTCAAAGAATCTAAATATACTTTGCCCTCAAAGATGACTGGATTTTAACTATTAAAATATCAAACCTGTAATAACTGTAAAATCATGTAATCATCAAGGCTGGAAGAGACCTCCAGGATTGCCAAGTCCAACCATCAACCCAGCACTACCACCATAACCCCTAAAGCACTAATGAACATTATCCAGCACCAAATCCAGATGCCTCTTAAACATCTCCAGAGATGGTGACTCCACCACCTCCCAGGGCAACCTATTCCAATGCCTGACGTGCCCTAACAGTGAAAGTTTGTTTTCTAATATCTAATCTGATTCCCTGCCTCAGCTGAAAGCCACTTCCTCTGATTCTCTCACTGCAGTGCCAGTAGAACAGACCAACCCCCACCTCACTTTCAGGGAGTTGTGGAGAGCAGTGAGGTCTCCCTGGGCCTCCTCATGACTAAACAAACCCAGCTACCTCGGCAGCTCCTCATAAGGCAAGTTTCCTGGACCCTTCACAAGCCTTGTTGCCCTGCACTGGAAACACTCCAGCACCTCAATATCCTTAATACCAAACACCAACCTTAATATTCAATTGTGTTCCTACTTTTGCTTTGTTTAAAATAATTATCTTCCCATAAAACTAAAGATCAAAGATTTAACAGCCTACCAAACTTCAAACTTAAGGGTTGGATTTTGCAAGTAGTTTTGAAAGAGTTTTCTGAAGCTGGGAAGTATTAGGTCTCAGCTCTTCCTGTAAGCTGGTCAGTCTTTATTTTTAGTTTTCAATTGTCAACATGTCTTTTCCTCTTGTAAAGGAAGTTTAAAGAACTGCTGGTACTTGAAGCTGTATTTACAAGTCCAGTGTGATACAAACGGGGCTAATAATGCAGCATTCAGACTACTTCTGCTCCTTCAGCTGGCAGGATCTCTAAGAAAAAGACTAAATGATTATGTCACTGAAGTTCCCACAGGTTTGCTGATCTTATGTTACCTGAAAAACTGAGAATTCAGCTCCTTAGAGAAGGTACAAGCCACCTTTCCATATTAAACTTTTAATGCTACTTCCAGATCAAATCTTTGTAAAATCACTTTGTGATTTAAAAGCACTCCCTTTACCAAGGTGCACAGGAACAGAGAAGGGGATTAATTTTCCCCTGCTACATTAGAACAAATACCTTGTTTCACCTGAAACTCTTAAGAGTTCAACACAAATCCTACCCACACAAATCAAATCAATTCATAAATTAAATCTATAACCTGTGTTTTATGAACACCAGGCTATACAAAGCATACTAATAGCACGATTGATCCCTAGCCTAATCTTGCAGAAAAACACAACTGAAGAAACCTTTTATTTTGTTTGTAAATAGGTGGTTAGAAAGAATGGTGGTTAGCACAAGACCAGAACTTAGTATTTAAACCAGAAATACTCTTCAGATATATTTCATGCTCTCAATAAAACTACAGTGTATATGAAGTCAACACTTCCTGAAAGAGAATACAAAGGGAGAAGGCTCTAACAGCTGCATCTCTGGTAGACAAAGCCAAAAGCTGAAGCACAAAAGAATTGTGCTACATGGAATCACTGAGGTGGCATCTGTTCTGCCAAACTCTGCACACATGTGACTACCTTGAGCAGACCTGAAACTCGCCTGTACAACCCCAGGTCTTGCTGAGCATCACTGCTGGTGTCTCTGCACAGGTCATGGACACACCCCTGCACAGCAACGTGTGCTGGTCAGACCACACTGACCAGCCTTGGCTGTGGCAGCCGGGCTGCAGCAGAGCTGAACAAGCACCAAGGCTTTTCCAAGAGCACCTCCTGTCTGCCTGCAGAAGAGCTGTTTTGGTTTGGTTGTTTTTTGTTTGTTTTTTTTTTTTTTTTTGGTTTTTTTTTTTTTTAATACAGACCTAATAAAACTAGTTTAAAGAACCATTTAAGGCATATCTTTTATGATTGATGATATATACTCTAGAAGGAAATGCACATGCATTTGCTTTAAAAGTTCTGCTGTTCCAGTAAACCTAAAAAACTTAAATGTGATTGAATTGTGTTATTGTGAGCCTATTCAACTACAGTTTCTGTTGTAAACAGAAAACCCTTTTCCCTTCCCAAGCCATTAAGTGAAAACTCCTGTAATGACTTGAAAAGTTTCAGTTGACTTCAACCTTTGCAAAGAGAGATTGCAAAAATAGTTCCTTTTTAATTTTGATTATTTGTATTAATTAAAAAAATGTATGAGCACAATCCTAGCAATATCAAGAACAGATTCATACCCAGAGTGAAATTAAAATGGGAAATGGAAACTGGGGTGATGGCTGGATTCTGGAATGCAAACCAGGTAACCTGAAGTAAGGGGAAGAGGAATAGTCACTATGACCAACTAGCACGAAGAAGCCTTTGATTATCTTAATAAGCAGCTGCTCATTAAGCAGGTTTGTGAGATTCTTTCAAGAATGAAAAGTTAAATTTGAAGAAAGAGAACACTTAGTGGGCCCAGACAGCAACCAAGTCTGAGATACTTTTAGGCTCAGGAACATACTTGGATTCCCATTTACCCTGGTCTAGGTACCCCCTGGATTCCTATTTAAGATCACATTGAATAAGAGCAAGGAATAGGCCTTTCAGTCTCTTATGTCAATAGCCTTTTTTGTATCATCTTGATTTTCATAATCTCATCACTGCAGAGTTTGGTTTGTCTTTGCTGCTAGGAATGCACAAGGACAGCAGGAACATGGAATGCTAATGCACACACCATAAAGGTACTGCACAGGAGTGTAAGAACAATCATTCTGAAGACCAACAAACTGTACCAACTATTTTTACAAGGTACTTTATTTTCACCAGTTGTGTATGTTATTCAAGTGACTCATTCTGTACTTTTATTGTGAGTATTCAAGATATATGTAAGATGAAGGACACAAATGCCCGTTGAACCACAAGCCTGATCCTGTAAGTTGACACTTCCCTACTGTATTTCTTCTGATGTATTCTTACTAAAAAATAAAACCCTGGAACACATGACAGCAGAAGGATACCAAAGCAGCAGTCCCATGACAAATTTCTCCACTTGTGGCTTCCTCGAAGAGCACATAGAAGACCACCATCCACCACTGACATCACTGAAGTCTTTTAGTACCTATTTTGCATGGTAATGGGCAATACTGTCTTACATCAGTAGTGAAAACTTACCAGGCATCAGTTCTATAAAATCAATCTGTGTTTTATCTATTCGAGCCAGGTCTTATAAGCTCTCATAGACAAACATCATACCCTTGATAGCTCAGCTACCTCAGGTGACATAGAAGTAGCAGGATGGCTCCTGTGACAGTGTTGGAAACAAAAAGGTTTTAATAATAGGCAAAGTAAAAAAGCTCTTTACAGAGAAAACCCAAGCCAGGGCAAGAGGTTCTTGCTCCTGCTAAAACACTTCACAAAAGCAATTACCTTCTTTTGTTCTCTTCTTTTTCTAGGGAATTGCTTAGGCAGGACTTTTTTGGCTCCTGTCCAATTAGCTATCCTTAAGTTTGAGTTGAAGTCTCAAAGGTCCTATGAGGTGTCTTAACTAAATCAAAGGGAGAAACTTCTGGACTTTTGTCCTTTTTAAGGAGACAAAGGGTGACTTGTTTACTCCGTCAACAGGGGGCACATTCCTATAAATCTGAAGGCTAAAATCTCTAAGGCTACACCCACAGCCTAAGGCAGTAGCTATGAGAGGTGAATTCCCCCCAATTCCAACATGCCATGGGATGTACACCTTAATGGTTATATAATTTCGCAGTCTTGCCAGACCACTGTTTAATTATTTCTGCTTAAAAGTTAGTCATTTCACCTAAGGCAATGCTCTGCTTTCTTTTTACAGTTGCCACTACCTTGTATTTTCTCTTTCTGGCATATGACTCTCTTATGCCCCTTATAGAGGAAAAAAAAAAAAGGTCAATACAGGCAGGCTGCAGGATGGGAAGCCAGACATAGAATATAGCTAGTCCTTAGGAAAGTAAAAAATACCAGGGGCCTAGAACAAGACATTGCCTACAGACAGATATTTGTTTTGCAGTGGAGCCACTATAAATGACAAGAACTGCAGTAATTTAATTCTCTCTCCCATCGTGTGCCTGGTGTGTTTTAGCTACAGCGCAGGGATTATGAGTATAAGTCAAAGAGGGTTACTGACAGCTGTATTTGCTGCTGGCTACCCTGGCCATCGCAGCCAGTGGCAAGTTTTAAAGAAAGGAGTACTTGTCACACTGACATGCTTTGTGAGAAAGAGACTGGATGAAGGCACTAGTATTCTGGTTTATTCAGCCAGTCAAGCCACAGTACACACACAGGCAATTCTGACATCGTGGAGACTTGAGATAGCAGATACAGTAGGAGTCATGAGGCGACGCATTGTTGGACTGCCTCACTCCTTGAGTACTCTGTGAGGTACTTAGATCCTAGGGTGGAGCCTGCTACCAGTTTCATGAAGAAAAGATTATATGTATCACTGCAGTTGTACCTCCTTCCAATTAAAATGGAAGTGAACAGATCTTTGTAATGAACTCCACAAGAACCAAGGATGTATCCTTTAAAAAAATGCAAATTACTAGGGCTTACTAATCATACTTTTCCTATATTCACTCTAGGCAAGTTCACTTGCAACTAAACAGCAAGTTTAGTTTTCTTTCAAAAATGTCTCAGTCACTCAATGATTACAAGTTAAAGCACAAACCACAAATTCATAAACCATATGATCTAAACCAACATGCTTAGGTTATGCTGTGTCTGGGTTCTCTTGTGCTGTCATCTGAGAACTCAAACCCTACCATTCCTGCTCATTCCAGAGTGTGTAGGAGAAGAAAACACTAGACATGCTCTCCCATCTGTAAAACACAAATAATTTATTCAGATAAACCTTTAAGAACCCTCTCAAGCATCACAGTATACTAGTGTACAATTAATGACAACTTCAGAAATCATGCTTTTGGTGCAAAGCATAAATTCAACATTAAATGCCACAAGATGGTTTTTCATTACTTCAAAAAAGCTTATGATTGACAATAAATATTATCAGTATTAAGGACTCAATTTAATTTTTATAATTTTTAGTTTTGAAAAACTCTGCATTGCTAGGAAACAATCTCTGTCTGAGAGCTGTCATAATCAGAAACATTCCTGGCTGAAGTAACACAATTAGTAAGTGTACTTTTAGGTTCTGTGAAAATATTAACTATCTTCCACTGAATAAGTGCATGATGATACTCCAGCACTCAATAAAATCAGTGAATTGATTTCAGTCTCTTTTTTCCTGGTAGCAGTATTTCCTCAGGATTCTTGCTTTTTTGTTGGTTTATCTAAGTAAGGAATGTTGTCCTGTAGCAGATCTTTCCTGGGTACGAGTACTGAAATAGAAAAAAAAAAAAACCAGTAAGAATATAATCTTATGGAAAATACTATTTCAAATTCTAAAGGTGTTTTTACATTTACATACAACATATCTGGTTATTAAAATGAGGATCTGAACTTGTGGAAAGTAGCATCATAGTATCTAAGACAAAATCATACTAGGATTTTACTTTCAGCTGGCTATAATAATGTTTTCCTGACTCCTTTTATAAGCATTGAAAATTTTCTATTAAGAAGCCATAAAGTTTTGCAGTAACTTTTAGCAGGAGAGTGAATGGCATTTTTTTCAAGCCTGAGTCGTATTATGCTTCGGCAGTTTCAAAAATGAACACTGGATTTAACTTAGCTCTCTCACTCAAGTCATGGACTCTAATCTGTAATATTTATCTTGTCACACCTATTTTAAAGGCCAAGAGGAAAAGAAAGCACCTAGTGAAAGTTACTGCCACTGTATTGTCACTGTCACTGTATTTTGTGTCCTTCATTACTGAGTCCCCTGTCCTATGCAGCTGCAGGCTCACGTTTTCTCTCCTCCTCCTCCTGTTGCTGATACACCTGGCTGTCCTAACCCCATTCCTACATACTCGCATAGGATCAAGCCAGTATTTGAACAAGAATCCACTTGGCTTTTGCAAAGGAAGCTCTGCCTTACAGTCTCTGCTGGAATTCTCTGAATGGTGCTTCAGAGGTTACCACAACATGTCTGAATTCCCCAATGTCCCTCAGTCAATGCTTTTATAAAACAGCCTTATTATGACAGAAGTCTTGCAGAGATAAGTCACTGGTTAAACCGTAAGATGTGAACAATAAGTGATCAGGTCATCCACTGGAGTGATGACAAATGTGGAGTTCTACAGGTATTTTTGCTGACATATTCAACATATTCGTAAGTAACCTGTGAAGAAAAGGCTTTTCATTATACCATCCTGAAGAATTTCATTAAGAAAATGTCTTATTGTGAAAAATAGCAAGACACTCTTAAGACCTGACTAAGTAAACTGACAGACAAAATTATATCTGGAGACATGCAATGCACACAGGTCAAGAAAAATACTAACCTCGCAAAGTAAGTATTAAGTTCAAAACTCTGATGAGTTTAATGAGTACAATTTTGTAAAAATAAATACATAATATATATGCTTGGCAGCCAAAAATTAAACTTAGAATTAGCAGTGACTATTAGCAGGAATCCAGTTGAAAATGAAAGACAAAACATTATTGTGCCATCATTGTGTGTATAAATGCCTCCTTGCCCACACTGTGCAGTGAATAGCAAGAATAATCATAGGCATTCACCTGTTGTTTCTGAGAGCTGTTTCACGGGGAAGTGAAAAAAAAGGAAGCAATAAAGTACTTAAAAACTCATTAACAGCTTGGTGAAAATGAAAAGTAATTGAAGAGAAGCCCATTGAAGATAATTAAACCTGAAAACATCCCTGACTCAGAAGTGCTGCCAGATGTGAATAGCTGAAAGAGGTGCAGATTCATTTTGTCTGTTCCTATTCTTCAACTGTTATCTGCCTGGAATCACCGTGGAAGACCTGACACTGGTCCAGACTTACCTTTGGCCTTGATCATAACTGCTGTTTTAAAGCAAAATGTTTTACCAAACCTAAAATTGAAAATTGGTACAAAACTTTACAGCCAATACTAAACGAAAGTAAAAGGAAACAATCGAAGTAAAAGGAAACTGTGTACACAGATGAAGATTTCCTGTATTCTCTTACCATACAGTTGTATGCTGAGCCTACCTACTACTTCTCTTTTTGGCTGCAAGATAAAAGAACTTCTAAACCAGGAATCAGGATTTTGGAACAGGATAGACTTTGCATTGAGGTAATCACTGTGTCACAAATCTTACACTGCATAACCTGAAACTGAAATTGTTGGAAAAAAGTTTTGGAAATGAACACTCAATCCTCAAAGAAAAAGCTATTTTATGGTTAGAGTACATACTGCACTTGCTAATACTCCTCAGGCAGCTGCTCCCTATTTGGTAGAGCAAGCACCTACAGATAGGTACAATGGCTACTGCCTTTAGACATATGCTGACTGACTAGCCTGTAAGTGCATGTGGACCAGCTATCTAATTGCTGACCTTCCTAATAGTTATAGCTAGTTAAAGGCATTCAAGGTAGTCTTTTCTACCAGCCTCCGTACTTCAAAACATTTGTATGGAAACTTTGTGCCTTTGAAACCTCCATCCATCCTAGGCAGTAACATTAATGAATAGATTACATTACGAATTTTGCCAGAGAATAACAGACAGGCTATTTGCCTCACTATTTCTTTCCTTATTTTAACATTCTATATTTATTTACTAAACTGTAACATAAATATAAGTATCCTTCTAGCATGCAGGCTTACTCACCTATTTTGTCAGAATCTGTGTGAACCGCCTGAATAACAGAAGTTCTGAGAATCACTTCAACATCTGAAGCTATTTTAAGAAGCTAGTAAAAGAGTAAGAAGAGAGAAACAAGAGAAATTTAAATTACACGTGACTATTTCTGAAGCTATTTTCCATACTAGACAACTATTAAAATAATAAAGTCATTCTGTTATACTACTCAGTTACTTATGTACTATGTATACATTACTTTTGCCTTGGGGATCCTGTTATAATTTACAGATTGACATGTAAGTGACCTTGACATGGAGCACATAGTGAAGGAAACACTGGCTCAGTAACATACCCGAGTATATACATCTACGCACCAAATTAAAACTGCAAATGAGTAAGTTGAAATGCAACTATAAAACTAATTAACTAGTTTTCAATGATCAAAGACACTCACTCACACCTCAATAACCTTTGACTTCTCATAGTGAAATTGCAATCTCATTCTTTCAACACTACTGCTCCTGAAATAAGGAGACAAAAACAAGGGCAAAATAAGACATGAATTAAACATACTGAGGTTTCATAGTAGAACTGTGCAGAAAAACAAGGCACTACCTACAGACTACCCAAAGTATTAGTATTTGGCAAAAGGCCTGGAATTCCTTCTCTCACTAAGAGGATAAACTGCAGCACCCTTGCTAGCTTTGCTAAGCCATTAAGAGAAGTCTAATACTTGTTTGCATGATACCTGTATCAGAAATAAATGGAATTGCTCAAGTGAGACGTTTCAGGAGACACGCTCACACTAGGAAGAGGCACGTACCAACAGAAGTGGATCTTTGCAAAGGCTAGAGCTCAATGCTTGCCATCTACACGGCACTTCTCATGCTCCTCCCTTTTAAGGGCTTCAAGCAGGTACCCTCCAGATCCTCCTGCTGAAGGCACATTAGCACCCAGGCTGCATGCTCCTGAAGCACAGCTTCCTCTTCAGGTTGACCTTAAGGGAATTCTGCTCGTTTGTCTGACACTTCACATAGCAAGACAAATCACAGGTGCATTAGATTCAGCTATCGTATTTCTCATTCTCATACCTGATCTCCTTATGTCACCGCAAGCTTGACACATACAAGTACGTACAGATACAAGTACTTGTTGTCATGTTAGAATGCACTGTAGTTTTCTATTCTGGCTGGTCAATACTCCATTTTTAGTTCTGTCCAAAGCAGAACACTAACAGCACCACATTAATGCAAGCAAGTGCTCAAACTTCCTGAAGTCTTATATAAAACTTCATTCAGTGCCTCTGCAACCAAGTCTAATTAGTGCATACATGTAATAAACATCTGTGATGTTCTAGGAGTGTGTAGCTGGAATGGAAGTCTAGTATTCCTTTCACTGACACAGTTAATCAAGTATCAACTAATCCATATTAAAAAGTCACATATTTGAAATTTGCAGGTTGCCTAGAAAACAAATAGAGATTTCAGAATTGCAGCAAATATTTTTCCTGTACATCTATTAAAAAAACCAACCCTGAACACATAACTTAGCTGATCAGACAGTAGTAACACAAGCAATGAGTATTATTACAGGAGGCTAAATTTAGGAACTATTGTCAGAACTATTTACATTACTGTTCAGTGGCTGATGTAAGGAAATGTTTTAATTTTATTTCTTCAAGGGACAGACGTAGGCACTTTCTTCCAACCAGTGCCTGTGACAATGTAAATACACTCTGACAAAAGGCTGAATGACAAGCACTAAATTGATCACTCTGTAGAGATGTTAATAACTAAAATTATCTAAAATACAGAAGCTCTGTTTCAGTTCACAGTAACTTTCAGAAAAAAAATGACTCAGCAAAAAGTGTTAAGGCAACAATTATGCTAAGGTAACGAACTTAGTGAATTAACAGAATGCTTTACTTTTAATGTGTGATGAGGAAAGAAGAAGCAAAAAATCCCTGTATTATAATTAATATATACTACAACTATACTATACTACAATTAATCCTAATAATTTTGCTGTTTTTTGCCTCCCACAAAGATGCCGAGTCATTTGTGTTCTGTTAGTAACTGAGCAGAGTAATTTCCCTGTTTGTTTCTGTTTACCTAAACAGGTAGCAGGTAAATTTAAGTGACCACACTGCAGATAGGTAGTATGAGCAAAGCATAAACTATTTACATAACAATTGCAACTTTAAACATTTTTCTCATATACTTTTATTATAAACTTCAAAATAATCACACTAAACTATCAGAACACACTTTCTACTTACGTATTTTTGTATGTACAAAATTCTGTAAGACAGTATTAATACCATTGTAAGACAGTATTAATACATTATATGTTTATAAACAAAGATCCATGTAGAAGTCTTTCTAAACCAATCCAGCTTTCATGATGTCTCAATGTGTGTACAGTGGTTTAGAGATCCTTTAAGTAAAAACCAAATTTCTAAATATTCTTACAAGCAAGAGAAAGCAATAAAATACCTCATTAATCTTCTCTTCAGATGTCTCGTCTTGGTTATTTCTGAATTCTTCATTTATCTTTTGTCTTGCAGCTAAATAAAGTAAACAAAAAACCAAAGTATGAACAAAAATTTTATTTTGAATTTGTCACTGCCCCAAAGTTAAGAATCTTAAGCTCTTTATGGCACGTTCCTGGGGCACTCTGATCAAAGTATTTCAATGTAAGATCTCCACGTAACTCACATGATGTCACATTTTAAGTTGACTGGTATTCAAATAAAATAAGATTCCCAATTTAGCATTCTGTACTGCATACACAAGGTACTAAAAAATCAGGATTAATTTCTTGAGGAAAAATCATACATAGAGAATTAATTAGTACAGCTAACCATGCTGTGGCTGGACTGAAGAGAAGTTAAAAAAACAAAAGACATATATCTCCCAGGAAGATCAGGAACATTTGAAAAAGAAATGTTACTATTCCAAAATATGTGGGTGCTTGAATCTAAGAACCATTTTTCTGTTTCAAATTAAAGGATATCTGGTTAGGGACACAAAAGTTTTCCCAATTATTACTTGAAAATTATGGGAGTAACTTGAAGAAAGATTATGTTAAGAATTATCCTTCTCTGTACTCCAAGAAGAAAGTTCCACAAAATATAGGTAAGCACACACCCCACAAAACAAGTATCTCACCTTCGAGGGCTTTGTGATCATTTTTAAAAACTTCTTGCCGTGTTCTGTGTAACAACTTGAAAAGCTTCAAAACCTGCCAATACAACATCAGTATAATTAACTTATTTGCTAGCAGGAGTGTTAGTTAAAATGAAAATGTTTTGGTTGAAATTTCTTGTTCCTTCCATTCAGTAAAGAATTTGATACAGAATCAATATCTAAGAGGCTTTACTTAAATTCCTGATTAAAACACTCACAGCCAAAGCAGATGTGATGTCATCAAAATCTTAGACAGGTCTAGGTATTTCAAATTGCTCTAAGAGATGCTGGCACCACAATCCTAAATAATTATGTGGCAGGATGGGAATACAATCCTGAAACTACATGGACACAAGCATTATTTATTGTGCCAATGTTAAATACACCCAACAGAACAGGAATAACTCTAAAAGCCAAGTTACCTGAAGGAATTATCAAGGTTACAACAGTGCATATTCTCTAGCTTTTGAAAGAAGACAGAAAAAGAAACAGCTGAAGTATGCTTACATAAAAATCTTCTACAAGTAGAGCAGCAGAACCAATGCAAAGTCCTTCCCTTAAATGCAACTGCCAGGTCAGGAAATTAACACTTCAGTAAAAGCAAACACTCAAAGCTAGGATTTACAATGTACAGAAGACACCCCTGAACACGTATGAAAAGCAAACCCCTGGAGAATCACAGCTCACAGTCTTGTGGTTTTGATCATTCATACAGACTGCAATGAATCACAGAAATACTCAAACCCTTATGAGACTTTTTTGGTGTTTGCCAGACTAAAAAGAGTCTCTGACAAGCACCAGAAAAACATAATCTTGATAACAACATGCCTTTTGAAGCTCCTTCAAGTACTTCCAACCATTTTGGCATCTCTAGAGGGCACAATTCTAGGCACTTCATAATAATCTCAAATTGTTCTCTCACAATTAGTATTCCAAATATTTTTCAGAAGGACATAGAAGAAACAGAGGGCTGTAACCCAGAAATTAACAGAGCCACATTGCCTTTAACTGCACCATTCCCTAGGTGGATGAACCTGTGGAAAGTAAACTCACAGAATTAAAACACAACAAAAGTTTTGCAGGTATTTTAATATCCTAAACATTTTCTACCCCACAGTGTATTTGGCATCTTTGCAAATAGCAAAGTAATATTACAAGTGGTTTTATGTTAAACACACATGTATGGCAAAACTTTAAGTTTACTGTTATTTTGGACAATTTGATGAGCCATTTCCAGGCATCCTCCTACCCTTACAGCAGCCTACAGCTTCCTCACAAGGAGAGGAGGAGGAGCAAGCACCAATCTTCTGTCTGGTACCGTGACAGGATTCAAGCCAATGGCCCGAAGTTGTGTCAGGGGACACTGAGGCCACTCAGGGGAAGATTCTTCACCCTGAGGGTGACCAGGGAAGTGGCCACAGCCTGGCAGAGCTCAGGAAACTTTTGACCACATCAGCCACAGTGGTGAAAAGCTGTATGAGATGGTTTTGATCAAGATGCATTAATGCAGACACCTCTGACCTGTACAGCCGCTTGCTTTCACAGAGAGCCCCGCCAATACCTGCTGACTGTACACCAAAACCAGGGAAATTACACCCGAGCAATGAAAGGCCTTATTAATTCTTAGCTCCATGTTCTTCCCTATCTTACCCTCACGAGACGTGCTCTTCATGCATTTTAATCTGCCTATCACATCTTCTCGCTTCCTTTTCCCGCAACGGCCTTTCCGTGCAAACCGCTACTTTCTTTTACCTAGTTTTTAATCCTTCTTATCCTGAAAGTCTGTGTCTTGTGGCTCTACAAAAGCTACAAAGCTGCGACCCCCACCCCCCCCGCCGAAGCACGGACAGAATACGTGTGTATGCGTGTGCATGTGTGTTTATATGTGTTTATATGTGTGTCTATATGTGTTTATGTGTGTGTGTCACTCGCCTGCCCGCGACTCCCCATGGCTTCCGCCGCCGGAAGTGCCGCACCGGAAGTGCCTCTCAGGGACGAGCCGCACCCTCCCGCTCTGCCGTCGGTGCCGCCGCCAATGCTGTCCCCCCCCGGGGGCCGCCCGCCGCCGTTCCGGGCAGCCTGAGTTCCGCCGCCCCGCCGCCGCCACCGCCGGGGCTGGCGCGGCTTTCACGGGTTCACGGCAGGGAATTCCAGCTCAGCCTGGAACGGACCACAGTGGCGCATCTGGCCCAACGTCCCTGCCCAAAGCACATGGCACACGACTGTATCCAGGCAGTTCCATCCCCAGTGGGAAGACTTCACCTCTTTCCTGGACAATCTGCTCCTGTGCCTGCTCGCCCGCACAGTGAACAAGTTCAGAATTTCTTCCTCGTGTTCACAGAAACTTCCTGTGCATCGCTTTCTGCCCACTGCCCCTCGTCCTGTTGCTGGGCATCACTGAGAAGAGCCTGGCTCCTTCCTCTGACGCTTTTCCTTCAGATACTCTGAAGATACATTGATGAGGTTCCCCAAAGGCGATAAATAAAGGGTCATTTACTCTAACATAGTCCACTAACAGATTAACTTATTTTGCATTTTGTCCCATTTTCTATACGTGGCTTTAACTATTCTTTAGAGGCCCAGCTCCCACAGCCTCTCCTCGAAAGATGCTCCAGTCCCATCTTTGCTGCCTCCGCTGGACCACTCCAGGAGCTCCATGTCTCTCCTTGTCCTGAGGAGCCAGAACTGGACACAGCACTCCAGATGTGCCTCACCAGGGCTGAGCAGAGGGACAGAATCACCTCCCTCAACCTGCAGGCAATGCTCTTCCTAATGCACCCCAGGACCCCATGGGCCTTCTTGGCTATTATAGTAATAAACGCCAGTCACTTGTTTTTTAAAATTTCTAAAAGTTTAATAATAATAAAATAATTATAAAAATAGTAATACATTTAGAGTAATAAAATTTAGAGTTAGGACAATTACAAGACAATAAAAAGCAAAGAAATACAGACGTCAGGATGCTCTTGGACACTAAGTCACGAAAAGCATGACTTGTGAACAAAGGAATAACCTTAAAAGCAACAGCCTATTGCATATTCATATATCTCATACATGATACATAAATTCCTTGCAAATTAAGAACTTTTCTGGTTTTTGTCAACTTCTTCTCCTTAATCCTGGTGGTTCCAAAAAGATGGAGAGAAGGTGGAAGAATGTTTGTCTTTTCTGATAAGGAGGCAGTAACTTTTTATGGGCCCCCTGCACTGACATCTCTGTGTGAAGAGTTTCTTGATTATCTCATCTTCCCGCTTGAGCTTGTAACAAATTCTATATCACAGAGTTTCTATTTTAACATTATGTTGTAATCTTAAACTATATTTAACACACTACTTTAGAGAATTAACATAGCATAACTTTCTAACATTACACATATAATATTCATTGTAACATTCGCAAAAAGCCAACCATAAAATATGCATTTTTTACACATCAGTTTCTGTGAGATACCTAGAATGGCCAATAAATGATGATATTTGCTGCTTCTTCAAATCAGTTTTTATTTTGCCAGACTGTTTCCTTGCTCTTGCAGTTAGATCAGCCAACGACAGTTTGGAATCCTTCCTTATCTGGGGCGCCACCTTCTTTCCCATGACTATTTTTTCACCACTTCAGAAGAAAAGTTACAATTCCTTGTTTCTGTGCTTATCAGTACTATGTCAGGACCTCTCCAGTTTCTAGGTATTCAACTGCATTTAGAAAAGGATGTGCTTTTCAAGGACACTTTTGGTTCACAGGATCACAGCTGCCAAGCTGGCTTTTTTTTCTGCTGGTGTTATCCATCAGGCTTTTTTTTTTTTTTTTTTTTTTTTTTTTTTTTTTTTCTTTTTTTTCTTTTTTGTTCAGTCATTTCTCCTCTCTAGTCAGGTTACTTTCTTGGCTGCTCACACCAAGTTCCCCACAGCCCTGGCTTGCCTTACTCGCACCCTGACCAACCCAGCCTTGGCCTGGCCACATCATGGCCACATCTATAAACCTGAATTGCCATTCTCTTGAAAACCAAACAAGCTTCTAGTTCACTAACACATCGTTCAGCATTCGCTAAAGGCAGCATAAGGATTTTCTGTGTAATCAGCTTTACTGCTCATTACACCTCTAGCTTCAATACAGCCCATTTAATTGTTTAACTGCAATTACATTGTAAGCTAATTGAAATATGGGAACACTAAACTTTTACTCAATAATTTTAATATTTTTATTATTAATACTTAATTGTAAGCATCTATTAAATACTTATTTTTACTATGTAACACCTAAAGAAACTTGATCTCTTAGCAGAAGTGATGTTTATTTATAATTTATTTCCATAAATCATTATTGCAGATGTGAATGAATGAATGAATAAGACCCTTTGAAAAGAGGATCTAATTAATTCAGTGTTTTATTCAAAATAATATAAAAGTTGCTGTTTACACAATGAGACAAAAATATATGCTGAAGTTAACTATATGAAAAAAGATGTTTTTGCTTTTTAGAGAAACTTCTAAACTTGTCTCTTTATGTCTTCTCTTAACATAGAAATATACTTTCTAACTAACTCCACAGCAGCGTTTGCCCCAATTAATCATATATTTGCTGGATAACCTTGGTTAGACAACAATATAATGCAAAGAAATTTGTCCCTGAAGTACTTCTTTTAATTGTCATAAAGCTACAGTACCATCTGTAGGACATATACATGTCAAAATATCTAAATCCAGAACATAATCTAAGGAAGAGAATAAAAATTTATTGTCCAATGTGCTTTACCAGAGGTTTTTTTCCAGGGTATTTAATGATAAACTATTTCAGAGTTACTACCAGAAACATGACAAATCCTGCTCTTTTTCTAACACATTCAGGTAATCAGCTGCGGAAACCATATTAGGTTTAAGCCACTTAGCAGTACTTATTCCCCACCTCCCTCCAAAATGCTTTCCTGTAACATTTTAGTCTAGAGTCAAATATATAAAAATGTCTCTATTAATATCCTCCTAGACAAATCTTCAGGGAAATCAATCTATTTTATTTGTAAAGTTTAGAAAATCATAGAATCTGGAATGGTCTGGGTTGGAAGGGACATTAAAGGTTATTTAGTTCCAATGCCCCTACAATGTGCAGGGACACCTTTCACTAGACCAGGTTGCTCAGAGCTCCATACTCACATCCAATTTAAACCTCCAATCTTGCAGTTTCAAGCCATTCCTCCATGTTCTGTCACTACATGCCCCTGTAAAAAAATCTTCCCCCATCTTTCTTGTAGGCTACCTTCAGTACTGCAAAGCTGCAATTAGGTCATTCTGAAGTCTTTTCAAGGGTGAACAATTCCAATTCTCTCAACTTGTCCTCACAGAAAAAGTGCTCTGTCACTCTGATCATTTTTGTGGCCTCCTCTGGACTCGCTCCAGCAGTTCCATGTCCTCCCTGTGCTGGGACCCCAGAGCTGATGCAGGGTTCCAGGTGGGCTCTCACCCCCACTCAATACAGTGCTACTAGCACTTGAAGCAGAGCAGAGGGGCAGAATCCCCTCCCTCCCCTGCTGCCCACGCTGCTCTGGATGCAGCCCAGGACACGTTTGGCTTTCTGGGCTGGGAGTGCCCATGGCTGGGTCATGTCCAGCCTCTCACCCATGAGCATCTCCAAGGCCTTCCAAGGTCTGTTCTCAATCTCCCAGCCTGTGCTGACAGCAGGGGTGACCCCAGTCCAGGACCTCATACTTGGTCTTGTTAAACTGCATGAAAATGAAGCTTTGTTGTTACTCTTCAAGGTTTGTGTTGGTTTTTAACCCCTGCTTTTTGATTTCTTCTATTTAATGACTGATGTCGTAGATGTATTAAAAAACCATTTACAACTAGATGTATAGCTGTGTAACTTTGTGCTGCCCTCTGTGAATTATTGCTTGGCCATATTGATTAGTTTGTTTCATGGTTACAAAATGTGCAGAAGGGCTGGCAGGTCAAACTGCCTCTCTGCAGGACCGTGATTCCAGGAGCACCAAATACCTCCAAACTTTGGTGAAAAGCTAACGCAGCCCAGCCTGGTGCAGTCTGCAGGAGTTCGTCCCAAGAAATCACACAGATATTTAATTTGGATTTGATATTCAGCAATTCTGCCCGCAACAGCGTCTCCCGGGACGACGCTTTCAGCACAGTCTCCTTTCCTTGATCCCTGCGCGGAGCCGGCCATGGTTCCTCCCCCCGGATCCCTCCGCGAGTCCCGGGTCAGCGAGGGCGCGCCAGCGCGGTGGGCGGGACCAGCGGGACAATGACATGCGAAACCGCCAATCAGACGGGCGGGCACGGCCAGCCGCCGGCGCTGGCCCAATGAGCGCAGTGGGGGCGTGGCCGCAGGGGAAGGCGGGGCTGAGGGCCGGCGGGAGCCGCCGCCATGGCTGACGAGATCAGTAAGGCGCAGGCGGCGCGGCCCGGCGGGGACACCATCTTCGGGAAGATCATCCGCAAGGAGATCCCCGCCAACATCATCTTCGAGGACGAGCAGGTGCGGGCTGTGCGGGGGCCGGGGGCGACGCGGAGGCGCTCGGGAGAGCGGCTGGGCGGGCGGTGCGGCTTCCCTGCACCGTCCCTGCACCGTCCCTGGAGCTGCATCCGGCTCCTTGCCAAGGGTCGAGGGTTCTCGCAGCTGCTGTGGAAGGGTACTCGTGAAACCTTTACCACTTCCAGGCAGCTTTCTTGCGGCTTCCGAGCAGAGCACCCCGGCTTGTGCAGGTCCCGATGTGCCTCTCTTACAAAGATGATGCAGCTCTGCCTGCTGAGCTTTGGCAGTGAACCTCCGAGAGCGATTGCTGGTGCATCACAGCATGTTCGGGCCGAAATTAAATCATTAGCTTTAGATGAAATGCAATGGTCATTCCCAAAATGTAAACTAACTCGTACTTCTTATAAGA